TTAAACGTCCTAAATTTACTACCTGAGGAGATGAATAATTGACCTGGAAATACTTTTCTATTAAAGGGAAATAAAAACATGACTTTACCAACATCACTTGGTGTATAAAGTGCTATTAGTCACATGCTGTAGTTAGCACATTTGACTTATTTGTGACCAAGAGTTCAGGTGAATACATTTGAGATTTATTTTGTAATTTTCGACATGCCAATATAAAACAGCTTTTTTTTTTTTGCTCCTCGTTGCCATCAGGTTGGAATAAATTGGCTCTTGATGCAAAGTCGTGGCCAGGGGTTGAAATTTATATGTGATTGATGGTCAAAGTGCTGACTAGCTGTACCCGCCCCCACCCCCCCACCCCCCCACCCCCAGCTTCTGGTGTATCACTTCCTGGACTGGGACCTGTTTTGTGTAAAATATTGAGATACTCACTGGTTTCTCTGCCCCTCACATGCACTTGAAAGTATAGAAAAATAGTTGACTAAATGGATTGTTAGAAAAGAAAAAAGCCAACTCCTAATGGATAAACATGTTTTGTAAAATATAGTTCTTTTTTTTGAAATTTAAACATTTTAATTGAATTATTATACATATATTCATATGGAATTACTGTACATAAAGTACCCGATGAATGTATTAATTAAATAATTTGACTGCTAAATGATCAGGAACTTGAAAATATCATTGTTAATGCAGTACTTCTGTAAATAATCAAGATTTCATTTTATTCAAACCAGAAAAACACTGGTATAGGCAAAGATGTGAAAAGCTATACATTATCATGGAGAATGTTAAATTAAATATACTTTGGGCACTCCTTTCCATTTACTGTCTTTTGTGAAACCAGTTTTCTGTGGTCCCATTTTATGGTACAAAAGATTGAGTAACTTTCCCAAGGTCACAAAAGTCTCATTACTTGCTGAGATGTTGACTAGCCATTGATTATTATTAAAATAATGAACTCTGTGGTCATTTCAGTCATTAGAATTACGTAGTCTGATTGATTCATGAACCATAAATCAAATATTTGGTGATTAACTATTTTAATAACTGAGGCAGTTTCCAAATACTCATGCTGGTTTTACCATGTCCTTTTTGTTTATAGGGCAAGAACTTAGTTATCGAAGTTCAATGGTATGACCACAAAACTTTCTTAACTATGAATACTTTTGATCTTTTCTTTTTTTTCCTTTTTTTGTACTTTTTAAATTTTTTTTTATGTTATGTTAATCACCATACATAACATCATTAGTTTTTGATGTAGTGTTCCATGATTCACTGTTTGTGTATAACACCCAGTGCTCCATGCAGTACGTGCCCTCCTTAATACCCATCACCAAGCTAACCCATCCCCCCACCCCCCTCCCCTCTAGAACCCTCAGTCTGCTCCGCTGAGAGACACAAAATATAGTTCTAATTATTGGGTCTTCATGTATGGAATCTTAACATGTTATTTCCTAACCGATTAGAAAATCAATTGGTTCAATCAGCTTTTAGCAGCCAGTTCAAGTTTTCTTGCAGGGATTTAAGAACGGATACACAATCCCAGGAGTGAAGGTGCCCTCTTTCCTTACCACGGCAATTCCCCTTTGTTGAACTTGCATTTCCACAAAGATGAAGCCCACGGGGACTGCAGCAGGTCTGCGAGCAGCTGTGAAGAGCTTTACAGCTGCAGTAAAACCAAGATGCCTTGGACTTGTCTTGGCTTTTTTCACTTTGGTAAAACTAGTAAAAATGCTTGGACCTCATATTTTTCCCTTTGATACACCTGTTTGTGTGTGCGCAGCATGAGGAGATCACTATACCTGTGTGGATTCCCCCAAAAGATAACCCTGAGACGATTTGGGTGCATGTGGTTTATGAGTGGGTGACCCCAGGGAGCATGGTGAAGGAGCTAGGAAAAAAGAAAAGGTGCATTAAAGATTTATTTATTTATTTGAGAGAGAGAGAGAGAGAGAGAACAAGCAGGAGGGGCAGAGGGAGAGGAAGAGAATCTCAAGCAGATACCACGCTGAGCGTGGAGTCCGACCCGGGTCTTGATCGCACGACCCCAAGATCATGACCTGAGACAAAACCCAAGAATCGGTCGCTTAACTGACTGTGCCACCCAAGGTGCCTTAATGAGCAAGCTACTGTTGTGGCAAACTGGAGTTCAATCCTGCTGGGCGCCCCTGGGAGACCACGTAGAACACAAAAAATTGTCTAACCGATCATTTACAAAACTTAGGTATTTCTTCCTTTGTGGCCTCCCTCCTGGCTGAAAGTAGCTCATGGGGGGTGCTAACCTTCAGGCACTTCCAGGCTGTGCTGCAGAAGCAGGTCTCATTTCTGCAGCCAGAGATCGATCCCAGGCAGAGAGAAGCCACGGACTGTCGAACTGTCCACCCACGTGCAGCTGACTGCTGGGGTCGGCAGAAGGAACAGGGGCAAAATCGCCAAGAGCACCCACTATAGGCCCTAAACGGGTGTCCTCTCTTTTTATTTAAAGTTTAAAAATACAAGTCCAAGTCTCTCATGTTACATGAATTTCAAAGGAAAATATTTTTGTTTTAAACGATGAGTGTACAGAAGGAACTACTTTCAGTGTCCTACTTATTTCTATAAGCAGGGTTTTAGTCTCTCAAATAAACTCCTTTGTCCCTATTGGTATGGGAAATATAAGGTAAAACTGAGAATTTTTTCTCACAGCCAAAAGCCAAAATGAGAAAAATTCATTTTATCATCAAAAACAAAGATTTCATAAGGTTTTTGTTGTTGTTGTTGTTGTTTCCCATTTTATTGGGCTTCTTGGTCTTATTCTTAACTTTTGGGATTTTGTTGCTCATTCTTACCACAAGATGTCACTATTTTACCAGCCTAATATCTGAATGCTTTTCTGAAACCCTTTAAAACTCTCTCTTCTGCTGGTGTCTCAATGACTCATTGAAACACATCCACTAACATTGTCAAATTTTTTCTCATAGGGGAAGTTATAAATTTGCCTTGGAGAGTGGTGGTTCGAGATAGTGGCATAGGAAGGCCCTGAAACTCATTCCTTCCCATGAACACACCCAATCTACAGCTACATATAGAACAATTCTCTCCGAAAAAGACCTGAAAACTAGCTAAACAGCTCCTCCATAGCAAAATATTAAAAGGCCACATTGAGACAGGGAGGAGAGGGAGAGACTTGGTATTGCCAAACACCCCACCCCCGGAGTGGGTACCCGTAAGTGGGAGGAATCATACAAATACGGAGTACATCCCTGAGGAGCAAGGGGTTTGAGCCCCATATCAGGCATTCCAACCTTTGGGACCTGCACTGGAGAAACAAGCCCCCCTCTCCAAATATCTGCCTTTGAAACCCGTGGGGCTGACATCTAGGAGATCCAAAGGAAACTGAGACTCTGCCGTTAAAGGGCTTGCACACAAACTCAATGGCCCTGAGACCCCACACAAAGACAGCCGGTTGAAAAGTGCCTAGACTGTATGTGAGGGATGGATATTCAGTGGCTAAGCCCAAAGCATCTGCCTGAGGGGCAGGGGTCTACTGGAGCTCACTCCAGGCATGGAGTTAATAGTGGATACCGTTTTTGCACTCTCCCTGTACCTTGCTAGCACTGCTTGCAGGTGCACTTCAGTTTGGAACACTCCTGTGGGCCTGCTGAGAAAATGGTAAATTCCTGGGGCGCCTGGGTGGCAAGGTCAGTTGAGCGTTGGACTCTTGGTTTCGGCTCAAGTCATCATCTTGGGATAGTGGGATCGAGCCCTGAATTGGTCACCATGCTGAGTGTGGAGTCTGTTTGAGATTCTCTCTCCTTCTCCCTCTGTCCCTCATGCTTGTGCGTGCTCTCTCTCTAAAATAAATAATCTTTAATAAAAGAAATGGTAAATTCCTAGAAACATACAATCTTCCCAGACTGAATGATGACAAAATAGAAAATCTGAATAGACCAATCATCAGCAAGGAGATTGAATCTGTAATCAGACACTTACCAACAACCAGGACCAGACAGCTCAATGGCGATTTCTACTAAACATTTGAAGATTTAATATCTGTTCTTCTCAAATTTTTTTCAATATATTTCCCATTTTTATTGGGCATACTCATATACACAATGTATTTTATTTTTTTCAAAATGTCTTTTAAAATGGTTTTTTTTTTACCATGTATCATTTTATCACCTGGTTTACAATTAAATATGTTGTGAACATTTTCTCTTTTACAAGAGTTAAAATACTTGCAAAGTATGGAGAAAACATAATTTATTAAGCTCTCTTGTTGGGGAAAGTTAGAATTTTTTTCCAAGGAGACCTCATTCTTTTTACAATGCACTGAGAAAAAAGGGGATGTCCTTGTCTTCCATAGCTTTCTACAGATGATAGAAACTTGCCTTTCAACTTAGCTTTTTGACTTGCTTCTTATGCTCATCTAATCACCAACCAAGTAATCCATTTTATTTTTTCCAATCTCTCTCCCATTTGCTTCCTCTTTTCTATCTAGCCTCCTTGACGCATGTGCACAAACACACACACACACTTCCAGAACTTCAGCATCCTGTCCCTCACCTTTAATATCTGCCCCCTGCCCTCTCATCTGCTCCCTTTAAGGGGCTTCCTTTCCTTTCCTTTTAAAGATGAGGTCTTAATTGATTCTGATCAACTCTACTCCAAGCTTTATACTCAGTTCCACATTAGGAGTAGTCTTTAATAATCTAAAGAAAGAATTCAGTTGTTAAAGGAAAATAATAATAAGAAACCCTTGGTAGAAATACATGTATCAAGAAACATAGAACTTGGTCACAATGTAGATACGGCTTTTGTTTTTTTTAAAGAAGTTTTTCGGAGAGGGCAGGGAGAGGAAAGTAGTTGGTACTTGAAGGCAATATTAGGGACCATTATGAAAATCTATTCACTATTTCAGGGCAACTAACAAATGATCATCTCTCAGTAACAATACTGGAGCTACAGCCTTTACAGGTCCTGAAATGTGCATGACCAATAGTGCATGCAAGTGTTCATCAATAGTAACTTTGCAGAGCAAGGCAGATGCCAGCTAGCAAAAAAGTGGTGCCCGAAGACAGTATGTTAATTCTGGAGCCCTGGAAACCAAGAAGTGCTCATCCATCACGTGGCCATCTGAAAGGGCAAAAGAGGGGACAATCCGCTTACCACGACCTGGTAGAAATGTCTGAGGAAAGCAGTGAAGCTGGCCATGCCAGCATTTACACATGGAACATTTCTTGGGCAACCAGGGGTCATGGGACACAGACTCATGGTTCTCTTTGCCCCAGTCATGCTCACCGTTCCAGCCATAGGAGGAGGGAGGGCAAGCACAGAAGGACCAAAGCGTGCCGGTTCCCCGACTCAGACAGTAGGTTTTGTTTAGCTCCTTAGTGTCCTGGATTCCTATGGACAGCACAGACTGGAAAGGCCAATGACAAACAGCAGGCTCTTCCTGGGGACCTAATGCTGTCATCTCTTAAGGCCATGTCTCCCTGAGAGGGAAGTGCAAATTCACGGTAGCCCAACCCAGCAACTAATTCCAGTTCAACGGCTTTGGAAATGGCCATGATCAAAATCACGCTGGAGGAGAAGCGCTCCATCTTTCTGTGGTCCATGGCTCCTTAGCCGGGGACTCGGCCCTTCCTGGGGACTCTCCCTCCTCAACTGTTCTTCTCAAACATTTCCAAGAAAAACTGAAGAGGAGGAAATGCTTCCAAACTCATGTTATGAGGTCAGCATTACCATGGCACCAAAATCAGACAAGGACAGCCCAAGAAAGGAAAACTGCAGACTAACATCCCTGATAAACATTATGAAAAATCCTCAAAAATATTAGCACACTGAATTCAACAATACCTTAAAAAGATCATATAAAACCACAATCAAGTGGGATTCATTCCAGGATGCAAGGATGTGTGAACATGTGAAATCAATTGACATGATATACCACATTAACAGAATGAAGGATAAGAATCATATGATAATTTCAGTAGACACAGAAAAAGCATTTGATAAAATTCAACTTCCACTTATAAAACTTTCAACAAAGCAAGTATATAAAAAATATATCTCAACATAATAAAGGCCATATATGGCAAGCCCACAGCTCACATCATACCCAACAATGAAAAGCTGCAAGGTTTTTCTCTAAGATCAGAAATAAGGATGCCTACTGTTTCCACTTTTATTCAACATAATATTGGAAGTCCTAGTCAGAGCAATTAGGCAAGAAAAAGAAACAAAAGTCATCTAAAATGGAAAGGAAGAAGTAAAACTGTTACTATTCATAGTCAACGTGATCTTATATGTAGAAAACCCTAAAGACTCCACCCGAAACTGTGAGAATAAACAAATTCAGCAAAGTTGCAAGATACAAAATCAATACACAAAAATCCATTGCATTTTATACACTAACAATGAACTATCAGAAAGAGAAATTAAGAAAACAATCTCACTTCCAATTGCGTCAAAAACAATAAAATACCTAGAAATAAATTTAACCAAGGAGGTAAAATACCTAGATACTGAAAACTACAAGACACTGATAAAAGGAATTGAAAAGACAGAAATAAATGGAAATATATTTGTGCCCATGGATTGGAAGAATTAATATTGTTAAGATGTCTATACTCCCCAAAGCAATCTACAGATTCAATGCAATTCCTATCTAAATTCCAATGACATTTTTCACAGAAACAGTACAAACAATCCTAACATGTATATGGAAACACAAAAGGTCTCAAACAGTCAAAGCAATCTTAAGGAAGAAGAACAAAACTGGAGACATCATGCTCCTTGATTTCAAACCATTGTACATAGCTCTAGTTACCACAACAGTGTGGTATTGGCATAAAAACAGACACACAGACCAATGGAACAGAATAGAGACTCCAGAAGTAAACCCATGTACATGCGTTCAATTAATTTACAACAAAGGAGGCAAGAATATACAATAGGGAAAGATGTAAATGGTGCCGGGAAAGCTAGAGAGCCACATGCAGAAGAATGAAACTGGATCACTATCTCACACTATACACACAAATTAACTCAAAATGGATTAAAAACTTGAATGTAAGTCCTGAAACCATAAAACTCCTGGCAGAAAATATAGGCAATAGGCTCCATGACATCAGTCTTGGTGATAATTCCTTGGATTTGACACCAAAGCAATGGCAACAAAAGCAAAAGTAAACAAATGGGACTACATTAAAAAGCTTCTGCACAGCAAATGGAACCACAAACAAAAGAGAAATGCAAGCTACACAACGGGAGAAGATATTTGCAAATCATATATTCAAAAAGGGTTAATATTCAAAATATACAAAAAAACTCATACAACTAGATATTAAAAAACCCAATTAAACATGGGTACAGGATCTGAAGAGACATTTTTCCAAAGCAGATATACAGATGGCCAATAGACACATGAAAAGATGCTCAACACCACTCATCATCAGGGAAATGCAAATCAAAACCACAATGAGATATCACCTCACTCCCATCAGAAAGGCTATTATCAAAAAGACAAGAAATAACAAGTGTGGGTGAGGATATAGAGAAAAAGGAACCTTTGTGCACTGTTAGTGGGAATTTAAATTGGCGTAGCCACCATGGAAAACTCTATAAAAGTTTCTCAAAAAAACTAACATTAAACTACCATATGATCTAGCAATTCCATTTCTGGGTATTTACTCAAAGAAAACAAAAACACTCATTCAAAAAGATGCACGCACCCGTATGGTCACTGGAGCATTATTCACAATAGCCAAAACATGGAAGCAACCTAAGTGTCCATCAATAAATGAATGCATAAAAAATGTGGTGTACACACACACACACACACACACACACACACACTGGAATACTACTCAGCCATAAAAAAGAATGAAATCTTGCCATATGTAACAACGTGGAGGGACCTTGAGGGCATTATATTAAATGAAATCGGTCAAAGATAAATACCATATGATTTCACTGATATGTGAAATCCAAAAAACAAACAAATGAAGAAGTAAAACAAAATTCACAGATCCAGAGAACAGACTGGTGATTGCCACAGTGGAGGGGTTTGGAGGTATTGGTGAAATGAGAGAAGGGAGTCAAGAGGTACAAACTTCCGGTCTAAAATAATTAAGTCATGGGGAGGTAACAAACAACTCGGGGAGTATACTCAACAATATTGTATTGCATATTATGTAACTTTGTATGGTGACAGGGGAAAACTGGACCCATTATGGTAATTATTTCACAGCTTATACAATATGGAATCATTATGCTGTTCCTCTGAAACTAGTATAACATATATGTCTATTAGATCTCAAAATATAAAAAAGATATTTTGGTTTAAGGGAAAATTTTTCACTTGAAGAAAGATTAAATTACAAATGATCTGGTCATCTTTCACCAAATCGAGAACCTTCCAGAGACTTTGAAATAATCACCCCACCACCATGCACATTGGGCAGATACAATTATCATAGTTAAGTATTTTTCTTTTTCATTATCTGCTTCATTCTATGCTTTTAAGATTTACGAAACCATCTTTTAATTCATCACTTCTCAAATATTACAAATACACTTGATCCTTGAACAATATGTGGGTTAGGGGTGCCAACTCTCTGTGCAGTCAGAAATCCACATATAATTTTTGACTCCCCCAAAACGTAATTACTAATAGCTTGCTCTCGACCGGAAGCCTTACTGATAACACAAATGGTTGATTAACACATTTCTTGTATGTTATATGTATTATTTGCTATATTCTTAAAATAAAGTGAGCTAGAAAAAAAAAACATTGTCAAGAAGATCATAAAAAGAAAATACAGTACTGTACTGTATTTATCAATATTGGAAATTTATATTATCTGTTTACAAGATGAATCATTTTTGAGTACATACATCAATACTCTCTGCTATGATACAAATCAGTACGGATGTTATATGTATTACTAACGTGAGACATTAAAAATGAAAAGATAATGTGAAAAAGAAATTCATATTTATTTACAGGTATAACAATTCATGTATTGATAATGCAGAAGCAGCAATAGGACTGCTTTCCGGTAGCCTAGTGTAATTGATACAATTGCTTCATGGTAGCCTCGCCTGCACACTAATGAATGAATTGTCATATAACTTTTATGGCACGCACTATTACAGTCATATTCATAATTTTATATTGGAAATAGTTACTTTTTAAAAAAAAAACACTCATCTGTGATGAAAGGCTGAAATGTTTCTCCAATCATGAGATGCATCTTGTATGTTAATGTAGTTCTTTGAAAGCAAAGTTAGAAAACAGTAAGAAAACGAACACATTATTAATTTTAAATTAAATATCACTCACCTTATGCCTATGGAAGGGTAGGCTAACCACGTCCATACACGACTTACACATGATGTTCTACACTTAGGCAATGATGATGGTGAAGACACAAAATGTCCCATACATTTCTTGCTGTACAGTTGTGAGATTTTCATATGAAGACACTCAACACACCTACACAACAGAGAAGTCTATTAACGATATGGCGTGACGATTATTTACCATTCATTAAGTGGAAGTGGACCATCACAGAGGTTTTCATCCTTGTCTCTTCACACTGAGTGGGTGGAAGGGGAGGAGGAGGAGGAGGGGGAAGAGGGGTTGGTCTTGCGGTCTGAGAGGTGGCAGACGAAGAGGCTGAGGTGAAATGAGGGGCAGGAGAGGCAGGAGAGGCAGGCACACTCAGTGTAACTTTACAGAAATACATGGCACTACCTTTGTATCTTTGGGGTAAATACCCAGTAGTGATCTGAAGGGGCACCTGCACCCCAATTTCATAACAGCAATGTCCACAACAGCCAAACTGTGGAAGGAGCCGAGCTGTCCAACAGACGAATGGATAAAGACGATGTGGTATATATACACAATGGACTATTACTCAGCCATCAGAATGGATGAAATCTTACCATTTACATCGGAGTGGACGGAACTGGCAGGTATTATGCTGAGTGAAATAAGTCAATCAGAGAAAGACAATTATCATACGGTTTCACTCATATGTGGAATATAGGAAACAACACAGAGGATCATAGGGGAAGGGAGGGAAAACTGAATGGGAAGTCATCAAAGAAGGAGAAAAACCATGAGAGATTCTTAACTCTAGGGAACAAACTGAGGGTTGCTGGAGGGGAGGTGGGTGGGGGGATGGGGTAACCAGGTGATGGGCATTAAGGAGGGCACGGGATGTGATGAGTACTGGGTGTTAATATGCAACTGATAAATTGTTGAGCACGATGTCTGAGACTAATGATGTACTATATATTGGATTTAAAAAGATACATGGCAATTCCTGTCTGACTTTTTTGCTGTTTCATTTCTCTGAAAATGTTTCTATATGGTACCAGTCCTTCCACTGTGCCCTTTAGTCGCAGTGCCCACATCATAGAGGGGTCCTTCTGCCAGACTGTCTAATGTCCGTTTGTTTTCTGCTCTGCTACCTCTAGGTCTTCTTCTCCATCGGCTGGCACTGCTTGGGGAGCACTCATCTCCATCAAGTCATCTTCTGTTCACTCCTCTGGTGTGGTGTCTGTTAGCTCTTGAACTTCTCCAAGACCCATATCTCGAAACCCT